AACATTCCTGCATATGAAAAGAGATGTCTGTTTGATCTGAATAGCCAGAATACTGGTACAAGAGTGAGGCTATGAGGTAGATAGCTTTCCTGCTGGCCTGGCAGGGGAGCTGAGGTAGCTCCCACCCTTCACCCTAATAAATCTAATTGAGAGCCACATCTAATTGAGAGCTCCCCCAACTACTTTTATCAAGGCTAGGACCTCTGCCCACCATTTAGTATTACGTCTACTCACCTGCCTTAGCTACAAGTGGTACCTACCAAAGGATATCTCGCTATTTACCTGAATCTCAATCAACTCAGTAAATAAAATACTAGGAAAAATTAAACTGTATACCACAACAGGATGAGATAAGCTTCAAGAGATTCCTACCATGCCAAACCCATAGGAGACAGTGAACTTGCCCACACATCAAGTACACAACTACGACAATCAGCATCTTGAAAAGCCAGTATACAAAGATGCTTTGTAACTAAGGAACTCAAGTGGCGGCCTCTCCCCTAAAAGCACCTAGAATCAAATAAGGCTATAATAAACATCAAAATCCGATCCTTGAAAGGGGAAAAAAAAATAAATTAAAAAAACACAGTCCAATCAAAAATAAATTCAACAATTTTTCTAGTTATATAACAAAACAAGGTTCTTTAACAACCTATAAAAGATCACACTAGATCCCAGGCAATGGATGCAAACCAAGATGAACTCTCCAAAATGCCAGATCAAGAATTCAGAAGGTTGATTATTAAACTATTCAAGTAGACACTAGAGAAAGGTGAAAACAACCTACAGCACTTTTTTTAAATCCATGCTCTAAATGAAAAAAATTCTAGAGAAATAGATATCATAAATAAAAAAAAAAAAACAATCAGAACTTCCAGAAATGAAAGGCACACCTAGGGATATACAAAAAGCAGTGGAAAGTTTCAGCAATAGACTAGAACAAGTAGAAGAAAGAATTTTAGAGCTTGAAGACAAAGCTTTTGAATTAATCCAATCAGATAAAGGAAAAGAAATTTTTAAAAAGTCTCCAAGAAATATAAGATTATGTAAAATGGCTCAACTTAAGAATAATTGGTGTGCCTGAGGGAGAAGTGAAGTCTAAAAGTTTGGAAAACTTATTTGAAGAAATCATTGAGGAAAACTTCACCAACCTTGCTAGAGATCTAGATATCCAAATTCAATAAGCTCAAAGAACTTTTGTGAAATTCATTGCAAAAAGACTATCACCAAGGCACATGGTCATCAGGCTATGTAACTCAAGACAAATGAAAGAATCTTTAGAACTTATCAGAGGAAAGCATCAAGAAATCTACAAAGGAATACCTAACAGACTAACAGATTTCTCAGCAGAAACCTTACATGCCAGAGGGCTTGAGGTCCTATCTTTAGCCTCCTGAAACAAAAGAATTGTCAGCTAAGAATTTTCTATCCAGCCAAACTAAGCTTCATAAATGAAGAGACCAATGAATGCTTAGAGAATTTGTCACTACCAAACCAGCAAAAGAAATGCTAAAACGAGTTCTAAATCTTGAAACAAAAGCTTGATATATACCAAAATAGAACCTCCTCCACATAAACCTCACAGGGTCTATAAAACAATAACACAATGAAAGAAAAGTACCTAGGTAAGAGGTAACACGATGAATAGAACAGTATCTCAAATATTAATAGTAACACTGAATGTAAACAGCCTAAATGCTCCATTAAATGATACAAAATGGCAGAATGGATAAAACCATCAACCAAGTATCTGCTGTCTTCAAGAGACTCACCTAACACATAAGGACTCTCACATAAACTTCAGGTAAAGAGGTGAAGATGTTGCATGCAAACCAAATGGAAACTCAAAGTGGGCAGGAGTAGCAATTACTTATAACAGAAAAAAGGATACATGATAGATGCTGCTACTTTATATAAGATTATCAGTTAAGACTTCTTTGAGGAAGTGATGTTTGCTACAGACCTCAATAAAGAGTGGAAATAGGCTGGGCACAGTGGCTCATACCTGTAATCCCAGCACTTTGGGAGGCTGAGTGGGTATATCACCTGAGGTTAGCAGTTCGAGACCAGTCAGGCCAACCTGGTGAAACCCCATCCCTACTAAAAATACAAAAAATTAGCTGGGCTTGGTGGCGGATGCCTGTAATTCCAGCTACTTGGGAGGTTGAGGCAGGAGAATCGCTTGCACCCAGGAGGCAGAGGTTGCAGTGAGCCAAGACTGTGCTGCCATTGCACTCCAGCCTGGGCAACAAGTGTAAAGTTCCATCCCCCCACCAAAAAAAAAAAAAAAAGTGGAAATAAGCAGTTTGAGATGTGGAAAGAGTGGTCAAGGCAGAGGAAGAACAGTGGGCCATTTTCAATATATTTATTTGCATAGCCTTTTATAATCATTCCTTTGAATAAACATATACTTTATATTAATAATATGACAGGCAGATTGCTAAGAACAAGACAGATACCATCCCTGCCTTCACAGCGCTTTCACAAGCCTAGCAGAGGATTTTGACATTTCACAAATGACTTCAAGCAATTATTCAATTCTGAGCCTGATGCTGGGGAGAGAAAAAAAAAAAAAAAAAAACAGGCACTAAGAGAACACAGTATGGGTCAGACCAAACTGGTGAGGCCCGACAGAAAAAAATCCTTGAATAAATGATAATTATAGGATAACTAAATAATAAGTAGCAAAGTAGTAAGTAAAGTTCCAGATAGTGGGAATCTTGAATTTAAAGAAATAAAAGTGAGCATTGCTAGAGCATATATAAGAGAGCAAATGAGATAAGCCAGAAGAAACAGGGAGAAGAAGCAATCCATCCAGTCAGCATACAGAATGGCAATTAGACCTCTGTGACCTTCCAGTGCCATTTGCAGAGGAAGAGTTACCTATAACCTAAAACTGCACACCTCCTTTTATTTTACCACATTCTACAATGGCCATGGATCCACTTGCAATAGGTTTCTTCTGACTCAACTTCATATCACACCTTGGTTACAGTTGCCAGATATGTGCTTGTGATGGTTAATATTACGTATTAACTTGATTAGATTAAAGGATGCCTAAATAGCTGGTACTGTTTCTCAGTCTGTCTGTGAGGGTGTTGCCAGAGGAGAGACATTTCAGTCGGTGGACTGGGAGAGGAAAAACCACCCTCAAGGTGGATGGAACCATTCAATTGGTTGCCATCACAGCTAGAACAAAGCAGATAGAGGAAAGTGGGATAAGCTGGCTTGCTGAGTCTTCTAGCTATCATCTTTCTCTTGTGCTGTATGCTTATTACCATTCCTTCTGCCCTTGAACATCAGACAACAAGCTCTTCAGCATCTGGACTCTTGGATTTACCAGAGGTTTACTGGGGGCTCTCAGGCCTTCAGCCACAGACTGAAGGCTGTACTTCTCAACTTCTCTACCTTTGAGGCTTTTGGACTCAAATTGAACCACTACCAGCTTCTTTCTTCCCCAGCTTGCAGATGGCCTATAGTGAGACTTCACCTTGTAACTGTGTGAGCCAATTCTTCCTGATAAGTTATCTTTCATATATTCATACATCCTATTAGTTTTGTTCCTCTGGAGAACCCTAATGCACTGCTCAGCTCTCAAATGGTATACATTATTATGTATTTTCTGCATGCATTCCTCAAAAGTGACAAATTCAAAGTCCTCTAATCACATCTACTAGTCTATCTGCATCTGTCTCCACCTGACCCTATGTCTCCCTCCTGACCCTATGTTTGAGCTATCCATATTCCCAGCCAAGGTCAACTTCGGTACCACTAATGCAGTATGTCCCATCCACTCTCACTTCACCACTGTCTTCTCACTGCTGAATCACCCCCATTGACATGACAAAGTGCTGTTATATCACCCATTGGGGAAAAAAAAATCAGTCTTAATCTGTAACTCTTCAGCTACCCCATCCCATTCCTCTATTCAATATGTATAAAAGTTGCTCCAAAAATCAGCCTTTCTATTCTTAGATCAATTCCAACAAGATTTTCAAATCCACCACTCCCGTCAAACACTGGTCATCTCACATTGGGAATGTTTACATACAGTTCTCATTCCTCACTTTTTAGAACTCTCAGGAAACATTTAACACAGTTGCTCAATCACAAAGTACTTTCTTTATTAGGTTTCCAGGATACTAACCTCTAATCCTTACGGTAACTCTTCTATGGCCTTACCTAATTCTTCCTCACTCCTATAGCAAATTGACTGAAGCACTAGATTAGTTGCTCTAACTTATCTCATTGGGAAATTTCTGCCAAGTCCAATATCTGATATTCAATAACTATTTACTCAAATGTGCAAACAGATGACGTACTTGCAGGTAAAACTGCAAGTACAGCAGTATTTCCAAAACATAAAAGCCAGAAGCAATCCGTTATTAATGAAATGACTGATTTTAAGTTAGTTTTAACTAAAATTTTAATTAACAAAATGTCTAAGGAGCTGTGTAGAAAACTAAAATATCTAAGATTGCTGTCCTTAAAAAGCCTGGCTTGTAAGACAGGCATCTGAGAATTAATTAATAATGGCAATTCACTATGCCTGCCTAGATCATTGGTATCAACAACGTGATTTATGCTCCACACCTACATTGTTTCTGGAAATCTGGAATTTTTGTATGTACCAAGCAGAGAATGTCCATATGACCAATCCAACGTCCTGGGCACTGTGCCTCTAATGGGCCTATCTGGCCAGAAATGTCACACACAATTTGCTGCACGTTCATTGCTGGAAGGAAGGTGTGCTTTTCATGATTCTTCAGGAGAGGCAGTGAAGAGAGCATATGGAAGCCTGCAAATGGATTCCTCAAGATTCTGTCTGCATCTCTCTGTTCTGATCCAGCTATATTGACCTCAATACTTCACTGTATTAAGTCTTAGCCTGGAGTATAACTATAAGCTCAGTCCCACGATTTCTGGAAATTCTCTAAATGTGAAGGTTGTTTGGGGAACCCTACATAACAGCAGCTTATTCAAAAAGCTCAGATTCTTACCTGCTGATATGCTTCATAAATCACGTCAAATAAAAAAGCCTGAGGCATTTCACTTGCTCGGTGTCTTGCACGTTCCAGTGAGTGGTCTAAGCAACCATCAGTAGATGGGCTAATGACAGTAGACACAAGAGGTCGAATGGCTCCTGCTGCCTAAACAACAAAGAGGCAAAGAATATATATCACCTACAAGCTATTTTAAAGTGGAATTCTGAATTCAGTATCTTACTTTTGAAAGCAGATCTTATTCATACCTTCCACAAGCTACTTTAAGAAAACATCAGAATTAGTGTGATTGGTTCACAAATGGTTATTTCAGGCAAAAAAAGAAATCAATTTTGTAGTATTACAGTTTCATATATTCAGGTGAAATGTGTCTTCGTTATAGGTTCAAAATCCTTCTGATCACAGGCCATCAAGGTCAACACTAAAAAAAGATGCTAAGATCCAACTGGGTATTCCCTGAAGATGAAGGAAGCAGAGAAAGACTATCATGAAATAACTGATACGGATTGCAAATATTTATTAGTATACCCTCGGGAGATTTACATATTAGATACATAAGGAAACAAACAAGTTATCCAAGATCCTCTAGATCAGACTCAACAACCCAAACAATAAATTTGTGTCTTGCTCTAATTCATGAGAAAAAACAGTTCCCTTCAAACACAGTCTCCATGCAATGCTTCCTCAGGCAATACCCACTGACTTCAATTGCTGTGATGAAAGCTCTTTCATTAATAGTTGCATCTAAACTTTAGAGGAAGAGACATTTCGTGCCTGACAGTTTTTTCATTTATCTTTAATGGAGTCCCATTGTAATACAGTTTTGAAGGCTATTACCAAAACAACTGCCTTAGTGAAACTGCTTTAAAATACAGTTCAATGGTAGGCAGTTAACCAAACCTTATATTGACTCCAAAACATCCTTTCTTCCACACAATTGCTACATGGGGAATGCAGCATATGAAATTAATACACAAATAAAACAAGTGCCTTCTTGAGACCAACATCTAAACAAGATAGATATTCCACTCATTGGTTTGCAAAAGCCAAGGGACTGGCTGAAAATCAAAGCTAATATATGAACCAACTAGACAGTTTATAAATTGTGTCACCACTTCCAGGGCCTCAAATAGAAATTTGTAAACTAAACATAAAAGCAAAAATGAGGACAGAGTCAGGATGACAAAGAGGAAGTAGGGTCCTAGTAAGTGAAGGGTAGTTTAGGAGCAAACTCAACTGGTCAAGCCCAATACCTATCAATAGGGGTTAGAAGATAAGACAGGAAGGAAATGCAAGTACATACAAACATGTATGCTGTTTTAAGACAAAAAGACTCCACTGCAACTACATATAGCTATCTTTCAACTCTATACCAGAGCATGAAGTTAAAAAATACTTAAGAGAACATGAGCTATCCAAAATGTCAATTCAAGGGGCTCTGCAGACTCTCTCCTCTTTGTGATGACTGAAAGGTATTTTAAGAACAATTAAAAGCCTCTGAAAATTGTTCTAAGGACATTCAACAAATGAAGAAACATTTAATTGAGAAAATCTACTCAATTTTTGAAAGAACAGACTCAGTGGCACTCAAGCCATGACCCATTTCTTCTTCTATCCCCTTGTCAGCTCAATGGATGCTCTACTCAGAGGAGGTCTGGCTAAAAAGATAGGGCCCTCTCACCCCAAGTTCCCAGTGTAAAAGGGACGACTGCCAGCATTTCCTATGCCCCTCAGCACTATGGCAAAGAGACTAAAATCCGTGCAAGTATGGTTGAGGCCCACTTCCTTCATATAGTTCCCACCGATGCCTGAGAATATTGGTGCCCCGATCATTCTTCTCCCAGCTGACAGATATGGCAGTTTTCATACCAGGGGAAATAGAAGACCAGAGTCTTCTACTGGCCCCATGTAGATCACAGAGTAGGGATTTTACTCCAAGAAAATGGTACACTGTGCCCACCCACAGTTTCAGAGTAGTGATGCAGTGATTTTTCACAAGGAGAACACAAAGGATTTGAGAGTAGAGAGCTATGAAGCTCTCCTTAAGGGAACTCATGTTATTTGGAAATTAAACCTAAGTGTACTCTCAAAAAAAAACATCATGGTAAGCAATTAAAAGGATGCTGCAGATACATGAGTGCAAAAGCTAAAATGTAAGACAGCCACTTTATGAGTGAAAGCCAAGGGAAAACACAGCTAACACAAAAGATCTCCTGAGATTAGGAACAAACCTCGAATACTGGCCTCAAAAACTACCCCTGAAAAGGGACTAGAATTTAACTGCAACTATGGAGGGATATATGCCCAAGTCATTATCAAAAATAAAGGTGACCAATTAGCACACAGTGAGTTGAGTTCAACAGCTATTCTATCAAAGGCAGGCAACAAAACAGAGGTCAAGGAAACAGTCAAAGAGAGCCCTACTGAAACCACTTTCATTCTAAGAGGACTATACAGTACTCAAGTGTCCAGCCTCTGAAAACCAACATCAGAAACTTTTCCCTGTGAAAGAAAGAGACTTCACTAAAATAGACCAGCCAAGTCATAAATACACCAGCAAGACATGCATCCAAATAGGAAAGTGACAGCCTACAGGGATGGGGTGGGAGGGGAAGGGCAGGCAACAGGAACTGCCTATAAGAAGGCCCCACCCATATATAAAACTTAGCAGATAAAGACTTCAAATCAGAATCAGCTATTATAAGTATGTTCAAAGAATCAGAGGAAATTACACTTAAGGTAGTAAAGCAAAGTAGGCAATATCACCAATGTTAAGCCATTTATAAAAAACAGAAATTCTGGAGTTGAAAACTAACTTTAATGAACATTTGTAAAAGAGCAGAGACATGTTTGAACTGGAGAGGAATCAATAAACTTACACTTAAATCAACAGAAGTAATACAATCCCAAGAAGAGAAGAAAAAAGATGAGAAATGAGCAGAGTCTCAGAATAAAGGACCCCATTAAGTACACAACAATTTTGTACTGGTAGTACCAAAAGTAAAGAGGAGAAGGCACTGGGAAAAAAAAATATTCAAGAAAATGACTGGTAACATTCCCAAAATAAACAAAAAATTAGTCTTCAAGAAGCTCAATGAACCACAAGTAGAAAAATCAGAAAGAAATTCACATCTAGACACATTATAGTAAAAGTGCTGAAAGCCAAAATCAAGGAAAAAAAAAATCTTGAAAGCAGCTTGAGAAAAAAGATTAGCCAGAAAACATCAGTAAGATTAACAAGTGACTTATCAGAAACAATTAAGTTAGAAGATAGTGGGGTAATAGTCACTACTAAAAGGAAAAATATCTCATATCCAGCAAAACCAGTATTTCATACATGAAAGCAAAATGAAAACAATTCCACAGAAAAACAGAATTCTTTGCTAGCAGATTCATTTTCCAAAAACAAAAATCAACAAATATTCAGCCTGAAGGAAATCAACCTAATACAGTAATTCTAATTCACATTAAAAAACAAAGTATACCAGTAATAATAATTTAATTATAAAAGACAGCATAATGTGTATTTCTATATATATATTGTTTTTAAAAGGAATTACAAAACAGAAGAGTTTCCTAAATCCCCTTACAAAACCTGCAACAGGGGTTGTGGCCTATCCATTTAGCTGCCATATGCTCAAACCCCTTAGGATGGGGAGCACCCAAATGGGCAGATAAAGTAGCTAGACTGAGTGCTTTTGGGCTCTAGCCAAAAGCTACTAGATGCTCCAATAGCATCTAGGGATGGGCACTGTGACTCCAAAAGCTCCAGTAGGCATGTTACAGTGTCCTTTAGCTCTGCCATCTGCAGAAAGCTTAAGTGTTAACCAGCTTAGTGCTCTCTTGGTACGCAGGTCCTTGTCTAGCATTCAGGAAGAATCAGATCATACACGGACCTGAAGGATGTTGAATGCAAGGGTTTTATTTAGTGGTGGAGGTGGCTCTCAGTAGGATGGATGGGGAGCTAAAAAGGGGATGGAATGGGAAGATGACCTTCCTCTGGAGTTGCCTGTCCAGCAGTCAGTCTCCTCTCTGACCATCCCTAGGCTGGACTCCTCTTAACATTCAGCTGCTCCTTCTCTTCTCTCCTCCCCTGCAACACCATTCTGCCACTCTGCTGCTCTTTTGTCTGTCTGCTCTTCTGCTCATGCAGCCCAGGGTTTGGGGTTTATATGGGTACAGGATGGGGGTGGGGGACGAAAGGCAACATTTGGGTGTGCAAACAGGAAATTCTGTTCCCATTTAGGACCATGGGTTTCCAAGCTTGAGGATAATGCCTTTGTCATCAAACTGCCTTTTTCTACCCAGTATTTCCCCCGACTCCTGTCTGTGTAAATTAAACAATAGATACATAGTTAACTGATTCATCTATAACATATTGAACTGTGTATATCTGACAAAACAGCAAAAAGGAGGTGGACAGGGATAAAAGTGTACTGGATTAAAGAAATGACAGCAGATGGCAACTTGCATCCACAGTAACAAATTAACTAAAAATGACAGGCAAACTATTTAAGATAACAAACTCTATAAATACGTACTTGCAGCTGGATACAGTGGGTCACACCTGCAATCCCAGCAATTTGGGAAGCAGAGGGCGGTGGATCACCTGCAGTAAGGAGTTTGAGATCAACCTGGCCAACATGGAGAAACCCTAACTCTACTAAAAATACAAAAATTAGCAGGGTGTGGTGGTGAATGACTGTAGTCCCAGCTACTTGTAAAGCTGAGGCAGGAGAATTGCTTGAACCTAGGAGGCAGAGGTTACAGTGCTGAGACTGGGCCACTGCATTCCAGCCTGGCTGTCTCCAAAAAAATTTTAAATAAAATTAAAATACACATACACACACACACACACACACACACACACACACACTCTCTCTCTCTCTCTCTCTCTCTCTCTCTCACCTTTCAGCTTCTGCAGATAGCAAATATAAAGTAATAATTATCAGGTTCATGTAAAAGTAACTGCCATTTTTGCCATTACTTTCAATGACAAAAATATAATAATGGATTGTAGGGTTTCTTACTTAGATAAAATATGCGAGCCATGTAGAGTAATTTTTAAATATCTCACTGGAATTAAGGTAGTAAATTCTGATGTAAATAAATGTTTGCATGTATACTGTAGGCCTAGAGCAACCATT